AAGACTGATTTCGCCTTTTCGAAGCCTTTTATTATTCTTGAGCGCCAATTGTAGTGTTTTCTTCGCCACGTCTGCACTATCTGGACTATCACTCCCATTACCCGTCTACAAATAGGTAGCCCAGAATGTCATGAACGGTGCCTTTGATGTTTCACAGCAAGCACAACATTGCGCATTTTGTTTATGAGTAGCTATCGCTGTCCTCTCAGACTGGTTGGTTTTCTGCAACATTTTTTTCAAAGTCCCACTTTGGAACTTTGTAGGAACTCGTTGTTTAATAACTGTATGAAATTTTTTGCTAGTTGATTTCTTTTTACATTTTCAAAAGAACGCTTAATGCATACGTAGCGCTTTGAACAAAAAAACATTGATTTACCTCCCAAAGAATTTGTGCTAACTTACTACAAACATTTTGGGATGAGATTTCTTTTTCTTTTCTACTGGTGGCTGTACAGGTTTAGGTACTGGAGGCTGCAATAGAATATGGATTTCCAGATAATCACAGTCAATCACAATAATCCAAAATGCATCGCCTCATGTGACATTCTAATCCTCCCCTTTTTTCACAATCACGCTCAATGGAGCAGAAATATGCTATAAGTTATTGTAACTGCCTGAATCTCCTAGGCCACTCCTTTGCTCCGACGCAGGCGCTTTCCATGCCGAAATTATTGAGTTTAGCATCCGTATCACGCCGCGCTTGCCATTTGCTATTTTCCTGACAAGCGTATCAGAAGATCACTACTTCTGAGAAGCCTACATTTTTCTTCAAAATCACATGATTTTTGAGGCCTCTCATTTTGAGCTGAATACGAGCTGTCTTTATGGCCCTCCTATCATCCTTGTTTCCAACCCGATCCAACCCCGTACGGCTGTACGCTTATCTCGGTATTCCCCTCTTTGCAAGACTGAGTTGCTTTCTATGCTTCCTGCCTACTGATCACCCCTAGATGCCGTTCACAGTCGTTAGCCTCATCACTGATCTGTGAACCTTTTCTTTGATTGGCAGAACGTTAACTCCAAATCGAGGGAAGTTAGATGGTAGTGCCTACGCTTTCTCGATGCTTCTACATCGCATTCCTCGCCATGAACGCAGCATTCGTTGCAGATTTCTCGAAAATGAATCCGAATCGCTCTTGAAAGATCTGGAAAAGTACCCCATATCTTGAGTCGGGTTCTCGCTCGTACACTTTAAGGTACGCGAGCCAACCTGATCTCACCATAATTGGAACAATCCATCGCATTCCGCTTCTGCTTGAAGATGGTAAAGATAGCGCATCGCTACATGAATTTGGAATTCTTCCATGAGCAGCCACAGGGTTCAGAAACCGAGTGAGGCTCCCGATTCCGTGCACTCCGAGCTCGCTCCATGCCTCACTTGGTATCTCTTCAGGCAATTTTTCTTCCAAACTTCGTCTTACAGCAGCTGCCTTTAACAGTTTTCGCGGTTTCTTTCGACTCTTCGTTTGGTAGTCCGTAAAACTTTTCTTTCCCACCTGCACTTGTCTCGGCTAGCTTCCTCAGGATGGGACGGTGTCTGTCCATTACGGACACCTCTACCCCACAGCCCAATGCCGCGTCTTTGTCAGCTATAAGACAAACTTCTCTTTTTTTCGCGAAGATACTTTTTTACTAACACTTCCCGGCTGGAGTAACTCATGCACATGTGTGTTTGGTGAGTGAGCAATCACGGGTAAGACGCATGGGGTGGCGCAGCACGTCACTTCCAGCACTTCCATATTAATGCTCAATAAATAACATCGCGGTTGTTGGTTATAACATCCGTTGCAAAGATGGAGTGGTAACAAATCTGTACGGAAGGTTTGGGGTTAAATCTTCGGGTAAATTTCGGTCGTGATCGTGCTATCGAGCCATTCAATTCGGTATAGACAGTTCTCTTTTTCTTTAGACGCCTTGTGAATGACGGTTTCTAACAGGAATCGAGCTGTGTGATGTGCTATAAAACTTAGAAGTAAATTCGGGAGAATGTCAGAATCAGCTTATTGATATCGAATGCTGTTTGATTAAATCTAACTACGGCGGTCCTATTTACGGACTTGTTCCACGTGTTTCATAGAGGTTTGTACTGGTTCAGCACAAACAATCCACCGAACTACAAGTGAAATTGTATTCTTCCGAATGGTGAACTCCCAAGTCGACTGTCATCAGCTGCCTATATAGCGCTCCGATTCGCGAAATGTAACAGATTGGTCAATGGATTGTGCTCCTAACTATTTGACCATTAAACTTACAGGCGGCGGTGGAGTGAAGTCACCACTGGGTGCAGTCACTGTCGAAGAGCCTAAAAATGCTTGCAATTTATGATGCATAATGTCCCTTATTTGACCTTTCACTGTCAAAACGCATAAAGTTCAAGTATCCCGGAATCTAATATTGTCTACCCACTTAACTAAAGCGAATCCACGGGCCGTTTGATGACAAAACCGAAGGGACGGTGCGTTTCGATTCTTCGTCGTTGGCCGCGCAACTCGTCGCGCAGCGGCTGCTTTCATAGTCCGCCAGATGGCGGACTATGAAAGCAGTCAGAGGCAGCCGGTCGGCCCTGCAAGTGCGCGCGTGCCGGATGGTGGCGGCGCTAGCCACTTGTTGAAACCACTGCATGCCGATGGACCACGTACCAGTGTTGTCAATAAGTGGTGCTTGCGGGGCCGGCCGGCGGACTCTGAAAGCAGCCAGTAGCGCGCAGTGCATCACACCTCATCTTGAGTGCTGTGCAATGCCATGCGTCAGTCCGGGTACATTACCGCTCGCGAATATTTGAATGAAACGTACACCACGACATTGAGAAGTGAGAGTGATTTACGTGTAGAAGAACCAAGTGGAAGTAGAATAGATGTTTCGAGTTCTCCTATGTAGGCAGTAGAGGCATCAGAAAATGAGGCTTCAAGGGGGTGAACTGTAGGACCGTGCGCGAGAATAATTCAAACCGCAAACTCCTGCAGTGTTCAGGGGTGTCCATCTCGAGGTAGCAGTGCTGCGCCACGCACAACGGGCGCTGTGCGCGGAGCCTTGTAGACCGGACACCGATCGAACCCGCGGTAGCGTCTGCGCAGCAGTGAAGGCCTTCGTGCTGGTGCATGTTGTTTCCCATGCAGAGCTACGGGTGCTAAGTGGGTTGGGGGGACCACGCGGCGCGGCAGGCGGCGCGGCACCCTGCGCCCTCTTCAGCGAGATAGTAGAGAAAGAAGGGTAGTCGGGCCCGCAACGGTGTTTAGGGACGTTTCATACCCTGTGTCAAGTCGTGCGTCCGAGGATGCGCGCGGCCAAGTTCGTAACGATTTGAACGACTTTAGCACCTATCATTGGGGCCCAAATTTGAAGTGGAGTAGATTAGAATGATAATCTGACCCTGCTAAACTAGTCTCAAATCATGACGAACTTAACCGCGCAAGTTGCCGCGCGCATCCTCGGACGCACGGCCTGACCGTCCCCCGCCGGCCGCGAGGGCGGCGGCCGCCGACAGAGCTGTATTAATAACCAACTCTCCTCTCCGGGCCCTGGGTCAAGTTTGTAGTGCCTTTGCCATTCCAAGCATTGCCTCTCCAGAAAAATTGGTACCAAAACTACATGGGGCGGATGTGGTGTAGTGGCAAGTGGCGCACTTCACACAAGCAATCGATATACGTCTAGGCGAACCAAGCCTCATCCCTCTGGGGTGGATGAATTCGTATCCGATTCGTCTGGGAGGATAAAAGCACTGACTTGTATATTGGCTGGCCGCTGCAAGTCATTGTATCATTGGCCACACATGCATTCAATACGCCACAACGATTCTGAGTGGAAGTGGAGTGCGTGGAAGCATCCCTCTGGCGATATTGATAAAACCCGAGACTTTATCCTTCTCCTTTATTCTTGGCAATCCAGGGTTAATGTGAGGCAGTTGCGCAGAAATGCATCCAGGAATTCGAATTGTTTCAGCACTCTTTATGAAAGTTTTGCTAGATCGCTCTGACTGTGAGTTTCAAACGAAACTGTCCGCTACTTACAAGACAGATTTTGAAGTCCCGTGAATGTGTAATACAGTCACTCGAGCGCTTCCGAACACCAGCCACATACGAAGCAAGAAAAGGTGCCTTGGGCGGGGCCCACGGGATGAGCGGTAGGGTCTAAGGGGACCGCTGTATCACACGTTCACAGAACCCTAAAACTTATTGAAGGCATCGCTGGACTCTCTCATTTGATCGGCCTTCAAAAACATTTTTTCAACCTAATGATTGCCAACAGTACTATTTCGCAGAGCAGCTACAGATCAACCAGTTTCTGTGGAAGTGAAATCTAAGTGAGTGTCGGTTTTCGTCGCATAATCAGTCTAATTTGTATGAATATTGTCTATCCAATTTTTCCATGCTTAGAGATACAGATTGGTCTGTAATGTGAACGCGATTAGATCTTGCCAAGTAGTTTTGAGAGTCGCTTACCTGATTTTCTCTCTGGTGTAGGCGCTTTTGCTAAACTTTTGCTGTTGACTGATGACTTGACCTTTATTTCATGTGGATGTTCATGCTGCTCGACGGAGCTGCTACTTTTTGTAGATGGAATTATCTGTAATTATATTGATGACTGGGGCATGATTTTCGCCTTATCTGGCTGGTTTGATTCAAGCAATTCCAAGCAGAGGATCAAAGAATGAGCATCTGCTCCAAGGCTGAGCACACTATAGAAATGACTTCCAAAATTCATCCCCTAGAATGAAACTGCGATTCTCAAGAATAGCAGAGGGGGCGCTATTCGGTCTAAAAACGGTCTAGATAGGGCGTAACAAGGGCTACCAAGTCGGCTCTGCCGGCGTACACACCTTGGTTGGGCGAGCTCGTCGTAAAAACTGTAGAAGCTGCATCATTCGCACCGGGACACTGCATGAAGAGCTAACTGTAGCCAGCTTAAGGATGGCACATCAGGAAAGCTCGTCCAAATACTCTTTCCATGCAACTGTTGTGGTTGCTTATTCTACCACTTTTTTTAAAGCTTTGTATCTCTCTGTATACACCGAATTACGCGTTTTCTTCGCCACTTCTGCTCCATTCTGGACTATCACTTCCATTACTCGTTTGAAAAGAGACTTTCCAGAGTTACCGTGAACTGTGTCTTTAAGACTTAGCATTTTCACTCAAAACCCACATTTGGGCTTTCCTTCTGCTCTTGGACCGCACCAGCATCGGAACCACGTTTTCTGACGCAGCTATGGGATATGGAAACCACCGAAATGCTGATGAAAAATTGAAAATAGTACGATAGAATTGTCGCTATATACCTGAAATCGTTTGCGTACAATATGAATAGAAGATTGAATCAACTGAAAAATGAATATCGCAAACCTTGGGACAGCCTGCTCAATAATATTTCTGGTGTCGGTAGCACAGTTACGTAGTAAACAGAATGACGACCAACTCATTTGTTAGTGGCTATCTACAGTACGGTTGATGCTTATATACTCGGGATAACTGGGTTTTCTGTGAACAACAACTTATATATAACGCGCTAAGTGTGTCTGTTGGTTTGCCTGTGTGTGTGTGTAGTTGTGTGGTTGACCGGAAATTTTTAACTCGGGTTCCCGTTGACTTAGACAGTTCCGATTTGGTAGGGGTACAGGCGGCAGGATGAGAACACTGGTGGTGGGTGGCGGGGCCGGACTCCACCCACGGGGGCGGGGTTTAGCCGAAAACTCATAACTCCTAACCCCGTGGACCTGAAGCGCTCGAACTTGGTAGGAGTACAGGCGGCATGATGGGAACACTCATGGTGGATGGCAAGATCGGACTCTGCCCACAATGGGTGGAGTTTGAGCGGAAAATCATAACTTCCTCAGGGGGCGGGGCTTGCAGAGAAATGTCGAAATGGACCTAGAGCGATCAAACTTGGTAGAAATACAGGAGGCAGGATAGGAACATCGATGATAGGTTGCAAAACTAAACTCCGCCCTAAAGGGCTGGGCGTGAATGAATACTGTCAGTTCGGACCCAGACCGTTGGAACATGAAGGCGCAAGGAGTTGGCTGGGAACGTTGATGGTAGCTAACATAGTAGACTCATCCGCGACGAAGTCTCTGAATACTTTTTCTCTGAGTAGTCGCCTTTGTAATACTATGCGATGTTCTATACGGAAACAGCGAAGATGGCTTACAGAAAAATCGCTGCTAATTCGGAGCTAATACTAAGGGTGTAGAGCTTTCAAAGAAAAAGGAGAATCCGAAGTGTTATTCACGCATAGCAAGTTTCTTACAGGAAGGAAAAGCGCTCGGCCTAGCCGGGCTAGCCCGTAAGAAGGAGGGAAGCCCAGCGTTAGCCGGGCGGCCCGACTGGTCAAGTTTAAAATTTTGAAGTCACAAACTACGGAAATCGTTTCGCAGTACCCATACACCTCATAGGCTCATTGGGCAGAGTTCATGTCAACTGGCAGAGTTAGCCAACGGCCCACAGTCACAAACTCCGAAGAAAGAATCCTGGAGTTAAATCCGCTGACAATCGAGCCTTCCATCTCTCCAGAGTCGTACATTGGCGCCGGCCTTGTCTAGGTGGGTGAACGCA